CATTTCTAGTCGTGCTCATTTCTAATTGTGCTCGTTTCTAATTGTCCCTGGCCCCCTCGTGGCCAGGAAGAGGCCCAGGATAGAACAATTCGAAGTGAAAGGATCTTGGGCCCCTAAAGGATCAGAGAACTTCCGAAGAATTCGACATGAACAGTGTGTACAGTTGGCGCCCACCGGCAGCCGAGTCGACCGCAGGCAAGGACCAGCTGTTGGGAGAGCAGGTGGCGCGGCCGCCCATGGCGCGGCGGATGTCGGCGCCCTCCCTGTCTCCAGCGCACTGGCTGGTCCACAGCGTGGGGCCGTCCCGCCTCCACCGGACGTGGCCGTTGTTCGGGTCGACGGACCAGATCTGGGAGGGCGAGTTGAATCTGCAGTTGAAGGCCAAGGTGACCACTACACGGGTGTGATAGTCGGACGTGAGCATAGCAGCAGTGGCGCTGGCCGGCGGCTCTGGCGTGCTCTTGTGCCAGAGCATCCTGCCCGAGGAAGCATTATACCCACGGATGAAGCCGCTTGAGCCCGGCCACGTCCAGCAATTAATGAGGATGCCAGGTGCTGGATAAGGATTGCAGTATTTGCCGCCATCCGTACCGATGGCGTCAGCCATTCTGTAGGTCTCGACATTGTAATGCTGCACGCCGAGGGCGATCACGACGTTGTGGCCCGGGTCGTATGCGGCGGCTGCTTGGGTATGCGTCCCGATGTCGCCACCAACCTGAAATATGAGGGCGCCAGTCAGGATGTCCAGGGAGTACAACCTGCCCTCCCAATCCTGGAACATCACTGTGTCGTTGGGGCCCCACAGAGGGACCATGTTCCATACGGGCGACACGGTCTTGAATTCCCAGACAGCGGTGCCATCTGCTGCGCTCAGGCCCCGCACCTTGGCATTGCCCGGCGTGAGGGGATTGGTCTGGTTGCGGTACCTATAGCAATAGCGGTCAGTGCAGCGGTCCGTTGCGACTACTACGATTCCATCCTTGCAAGCAACAGCCCCCTTGACGCCAGCAATTTCGTTGGAGGCGTATGTTACCCACAGCTCCTCTCCGCTCGCGAGGTCAATCGCGAACACGAAGCCAGAGGTGGTGCTCCCTACCAGCATGGAGGGCAATGTGGCGGCCTCCACCTGCGTCTGCACGCGCAAGAAGCGGTCCCCTATAGAGCGAAGCTTCACCACGCTTTTGTGCCCGGTGCTCGTCCAGGCGATTACGGCCCTGTTACCCTCAACGACGCCGGTGATCGTGCCCAAGTCGCCAGCCTTGTAGAGGTCCTTGCCGTCCGCCCGATAACCAAAGCCAGGCTTCACTTTCACGAGGTCGCCGACCTTGAACTGATTGAAGATCGGCGGCGAACCTGGGGGGGAAGCGAGAAGGAGAAGGCCTTCTCAGAAGGCTCGGAGGCCCCCGACCTTCTGAGAAGTTTCCTGAGCCTTCTCCGAAGGCACAGACAACTTCTCAGAAGGCTCGAGGGCTTCTGAGAAGCCCCGCCGCCTTCTGAGAAGGCCGTCTCCTTTTCACTCCCCTCCCTCGCTCGCCGCCGAGAAGACTGCAGAATGCTCTGACTTGTCGCCTTTGGCCCAATCGGGCCGCACCAGGTCCTCCTCCTCGGCGCTCTCGGCGGAGTTCGCGCGGGCCGCCAGGCGCCTGCCAGGGCTCGACCAAGACAGCGTTTTTCCCTTCATCCTACGGATGGGGTTTGGGATATTCCCCATATCCAAAGGATGGGGTTATTGCTATTACTCCGACCGCGCCGAGAACCCACCCATCAAATTTTCTTTATCACGTTATGATTTGCTATATTACGTTTTGTGTTGTTGCGGTGTGTTGTGTTTTGGTTTGCTTCGGTATGGTATGTTAGGTTATGGTTTTGATTCGGGTGCTGAACATTGATGATGATGGTGACGATGATGGAGATGATGATAATGATACTGCTGATGATGAAGATGCGGTAAATGATGATGCTGATGATGATGATGATGATGATGATGATGATGATGATGATGATGATGATGATGATGATGATGATGATGATGTCGGAGCAGATTTTAAGGATGTCTCGACCGAGGCGCGCGTTTCAGCACCTTCACTAGGGAAGGGGGAAACTAACGCAAAGTTTGCGAATCGTAATTTGATCGCCCCGTGGGCGTCCTGTTGAAGGCCTCGTGGGGCGTCTCGCGGGCATTCTGGGCCGTCTCGAGGCCATCTACGCCCCCCTGGGAGCGCTCTTGTCCGATCAACGCCGTTTCGAGGAGCCTGTCCACAAGTGCGACTTGCGCAGGCCAGGGATGCGCGCGTAGTTCCCGCAAGCCCCAATTACCCCTCAACCTGTTATGGGTTAGTGGAAACCCCTTACGGGCGACGGTTCGACCGAGCCCGCTCGCCAGCGGGCGTCGCCAGCGGGCGCCGATTCCACCGCACCTTTGCAAAACAGTGGCCGCGAATCTTAAGAAAAGGGCGGCGGCAGGCAACGAGGCCAGATGGCACGAGCGCGACATAATCTCCGAAGCCCCGAGGGGAACGCAAGCGGATCACAGCGCGAGGCGTCGTAACTTCGGCGCGCGTCAGTTCAGCTGAGGCTCGAATAATGCAAATGGGGTGCAAACGGCAGATGCCTTCACATACTTGACGCGCAATGCAACGAACGCGAGAAATATTCAGATCTGAGAGAGCGTGATCCACCGCCGCTTTACTGTGGAAAATTGCCAACCTTTTCCTCCGGAACCCGGGGGTCCCCCCCCCCCCCTCCGAAAATCCTCCCCCCCCCCTGCTGGAACCCCTCCCCCCCCCCCCCCCCCTCCCCCCCCCCCCCCTCCCCGGCAAAACCCCCCCCTCCCCTAACCCCCCCCCCCCTCGAAAACCGGGGGGGTCACTACCGGTTCGAACCCCTCCCCCCCCCCCCCCTCCGGAAACCGGGGGGGTCACTACCGGTTCGAACCCCCCCCCCCCCCCCCCCCCCTACTCACCGCCAGCAAACGACTCCCGGTCCCCACCACCGTCCGCATCACATCCCCCACTGGTGTTCCCAGCACCACTGTCCTCACCACCGCTGTCCCCACTGGTTCCACCACCGCCCCTACTGTCCCCACCAGTGGCCCCACCACTGTCGCACTGTCCCCGCTGTCCCCAGAACTGTTCCCACCACGGTTCCACTCTCCCCACTGTCTCCACGGCCCCAACCACTGCCCGACTATCCCTACTGTCCCCACTGTCCCACTGACTCCTCCGCTGTCCCACTGAGCTGTCCCACTGTTCCCACCACTGTCCCCACTGTCCCCACCACTGTCCCCACTGTACCTCTGTCCCATTGTCCCACCGCCGTCCTCGCCACCGCCTTCACCACTGTCCCCACCACCATTGTACCCTCCACTGTCCCACTGTTTCCACCTCATTCCCATTGTCCCCACACCACTGTCCCCACCACCACCGTCACCACCACTGTCCACTGTCCCCCCCTGTTCCCACCATTGTCCCCACCACTGTCCCCACCACTACCGTCCCCACCACTGTCCCACTGTCCCACTGTCCCCACCACTGTCCCGCTATCCCCTCACCACTGTCCCCACCAACACCGTCCCCACCACTGTCCGCACCCCCACTCGGTTTTCGAGGGGGGGGGGGGGTTCGAACCGGTAGTGACCCCCCCCGGTTTTCCGGATCCGGAGGGGGGGGGGGGGGCTCGAACCGGTAGTGACCCCCCCCCCTTTTCATGATGAGCAGGGGGGGGGGGGGGGGGGGTTCGAACCGGTAGTGACCCCCCCCCGGTTTTCCGGAGGGGGGGGGGGCGGGGGGAGGGGTTCGAACCGGTAGTGACCCCCCCCGGTTTTCCGCCAGCAGCGGTAGAACACGCTCTTTCTCAGATCTATTCAGCGCGACAAGCAAGCGGCGATTTCGGGAGGCAGATCTCTCATGTGTCCAGCCTGCCGCCTTTGACCGCGCGCGCGAGGTCCCGCGTGCGCCGCGGAATCTGCCCGCGCGGGCCGTCGACTTGATGCCGGGCGTTGACCCGCGCGGCCGCCGCCTTGAATCGCCCCTCGAAGTCCCCCTCGGTATCGGCCCGCGGCTCTGTCGGCGGCGTGCTCCGCAACCTCTCCCTCGCCCGCGACGCGGCAGCCCAGCGTGGCCACCAGAGGTCCTCAGAGCGCCCCGGGTGGACACTTGCGTCGTCGCCGCGGAAAGCCTTGAGCTTGTGCTCGCGCGCGGCCTGCCTGAACTCGCGCGCGATGCCCCGCCCTGACAGAAGCCGCCGCCCACGTCAACGAACGCGACGCCTGGCTGATCGGCGCGCGACCGCTCGTTGATGGGCGACCTGAGCTCGCGAACGGGGTCGGAAACGCCAATGTCATGATCGTCGACAAAACCAGAGCCCAACAACTCGGGGCGCAACTTGCCCCGCGCGGGGACAGGCATCACATGGGCCCGCGCGCGCTCCTTCCCAACGAGAACCAAGCCCTTCTTGCTGCCGCGCACGTTCACAAACTCGCGTTTCGCGCCGCTGGACATCCACCCCGCGCCCCCTCTCTGCGCGAGGCCCCGAGCATCGGCTTTCTGAACGGCGGCAGGCGAAACATCGGTGCAGATGTCCGTCCAGACCGCGTGCCGAAAATGCCAGTTGGGCGCGTGTGTCAGTGACAACACGCGCTCGCTACTGGCCGCGCGCTTCGGGGCGCCCCGCGGCAGCGCGGCGACCGTTGCCAGGCGCATCCGGCGAGACCACGGCGCGTCAAGATCGGGCTCGTAGCAACGACCGACGGGGCGCCCCGCGGCTGGGTTGATATACGCATTCGTGCACTGGGCGACTGCGAGGCCGCGCGCGGGCTCAAACCCGCGATCTTTCATGGCCATCGCGTTGGACGCGATGACCGAATTGCGCGCGCTGACGAGCGACCGCCAAGGCCCCCGTGCACTTCGCCTGGGAACCAGTCTTCGTCCTCGCCCATCCTGCAGACCAGCCTGCCGATTGCACTTGCATGTGGGCGGTGGCGCCCAGGGCCCTGCGCGTAAACGCGGTCTGCGACCCGCTGCGTCTCGCCGCGCCCTCGGTCCCCGCGCAGCTCCTCCCGCGCCTCTTTCAGCCAATGAGCTTTGGCCTGTTGCCACAAGGGCGCGCGTCCACCCTGGCGAGCCCCCTTCCGCAACTGGGACAACTCCCGCTGCTCATCGCCGAAGGGCGCGAGCATGTTGGGCCGACGCGGAGCTGCTGCTGGGCGGCGGCGGCAGACGGCGAAGGCAAGTTTGAAATATGATTGATTCGAAATGGCCACAGGCGGCGCCTTTCTGCCTGCACCCCTGCGCGTCTGTCTGGATGTCTTTCTGTCTGTGCGCTGGTGCGCCTGCCTGTCGGTCTGTCGGTATGTCTGCCCCTCTGTCGAACTGTCGGTCTGTCTGCCTGTCTGCCTGCCTATAAAACTGTTGGTCTGTCGGTTGGTCTGTCGCCCCGTCGGTCCGTCGCTCTGTCGGTCGGTCGGCCGCTCCGTCGGTCGGTCTGCCTCAGACTGTCGGTCGGTCTGTCTGTCTGTCTGCCAGCGTGCTGGCTTGTCGGTCTGTCGGCCTGTCGCTCGCACCGAGTCGCTCGGGCTCTTACTGGGGCGACGCCCGCCGAGGCCGCGCGCGGACCCCCGCAAGGGCCTTCAACCGCTCGGGAGGCTGCGGCACCCACAGGGACGTCGCGGCCGTGGCGTCGGTGATCCCGAGTTGGCGAAGGCCCCGCGATGGGGTCTCGGCGCGCCCTCGGCGGATGTGTATGCTTTCCTCTTAGCATAAAACCACACAGTCTCGAGCATTTACCACGCGCGCCTCTTCGCCGCGCGGGTTGGTTTACTATGGTGGCAGGCGCGCCGACGGCATCCGAATAGGCAACGCTAGACAGCATCCACGATCATCCACGATCGTCGCAAGCTCTCAGCCCTTCTGGAGGTCCATGGAATTGCGCAAGCCACTTGAACGAAGTAGACTGATGTTGGACGCGCTGCGAATACGTATTTTTCTCGCGCGCATCCCGTACGACGCCGTCTGTCTACGTCCTGCTTCGCTCGGATCCATTACAAAGCCTTCCGCGCGTCCTGCAACGTTGCCAAAACGTCCACAACTGGCGCCCCTGTGAAGCGGAAAGCGCTGTCTCAGCGTAGGCAGCAACAGCTGTGGCTGTCAAGTTTGCAGAGCCGACGCAGAGGCAACGTCGGCCGATACATGCAGCCTTACATGAAAAGCTCCACGCTGCACAACTCCATGGCAAAGGTACATTTGTGCACCAATCCGTAGCAGTTCACCCAAGCGCGGTCGCATTCGGAAGCGGGAGCGAGCCCCGAACATCTCCCCGTCAACCATGACCGCGACACCAGGTGGGTATCGAGAGCCCAACCGACGCGCGAACGACGCAGTCAAACTTGGACGGCCGTAAATGTAAGATGCCACCAAGATACCTCGAGCCGTTTCCACGTCTGTAAGCGAGCGGCTGATCCACGCGACTGTCGTCAACACATCGACACTGGTTGCTGGTGGACGTCCAACGGACAGCAACGATAATTCTTCTGAGTTTGCCGCTGGTGCTGCAGGTGGCGCTGGCTGAGCCACTGGTGCTGCTGCTCTTGCTGTCGCCGTTGCCCTGACAAGTGTTTTCGCCGCTGGCCTGTCGCGCGAACTCTGGTGTCCTGCGAACGTGCTCTGCCGCACGCATTTAAAATGTGCCCGACACCTCCTTTCATTGCAAAACAGACAGGGGGATCGAATCTGCTGGGCATGTTCGCTTTCGTGCGGGAAAGCTGACATGGTGCGCGCGGAGCCAAAAATCCTTGCCATGTAGCCGCAGGCAGTTCTCAAGAAAAGCACAACGCTGTGAAACTTGACTAAACTTGAATCAGAACCTCCGACGGATGATTCATCGAGAAAATCAGACGGTCATGGCCGATTCGTGCCGATTAATGGATTGAATTCCGCGCCAGGCTTTTTCCGCCCTTCAAAGCAGTTCCTGGAACGTCATAGCTCCATGTTCCACGTGGTGGCAAGAGTCCGTCTAAACAGGGCACGGGGAACAGTTACGCAATATGCGTTGATGAATCGACATGAAGACAACGCTTCGGACACGCATTCAAAAATATCGGAGGCTGCCCACAAGGGCAGACTCAGAGGGCTTTTTAGAATGGATATTAGGTAACCTTTTGCTTCCCAGAGGGGTTCGTAGAGGGCTTCTTCGAAGGGTTTTCCAGACATATCGGAGGCTTGTTAGAGGGCTTCGGAAAAGAAATGGTCCTTCTGCTTTTGCTGCGGACTTCGCCACGTCCCCAAAAAACGATGTCAGATGCGCGAGTTGCCCCGTGTCTACCTGAATTCGGGACCCCGCTGCAAGGGAAGATTGACAGGGACAGCGCCTTTCATCTGCGAAAGCACGCGGGACCTGCCTCGACCCCCTCAATAAGGCCCACATTGCAACCATAGAACTTTGCACTGGGTTTCCGCCGTGCCTGAAGGGGCTCCACCGAAGGCCTGAAGGGCAGCGTTCGCATACCGCTCACTGGCCATTTCGGCACCCCCCCCTCACTCGTTTCGTGCCCCCCAGGAAGCTCCACCGAAGGCCCCACTGGCAGCGTTCGCATACCGCGCCCCGACCATCCCAGAACACCCCTCACATGTTTCGTGGCCCCCAGGGAGCTCCACCGAATGCCCCAATGGTAGCGTTCGCATACCGCCCCCCGACCAATTCCGGAACACCCCTCACACGTTTCGTAGCCCCCAGGGGGCTCCACCGAAGGCCTCACTGGCAACGTTCGCATACCCCCTCCCCCGACCAATTCGGCACACCCCTCGCACGTCTCGTGGCCCCCAGGGAGCTCCACCGAAGGCCCCAGTGGCACCGTTCGCATACCGCCCCCGACCATTTCGGCACACCCCTCACACGTTTCGTGCTCCCCCAGGGAATGCCCCAATGGCAGCGTTCGCATACCTCCCCCCCCGACCATTTCGGCACACCCCTCACGCGTCTCCTGGCCCCCAGGGAGCTCCACCGAAGGCCCCAGTGGGACCGTTCGCACACTGCCCCCCGACCATTTCGGCACACCCCTCACACGTTCCATGGCCCCCACAGAACTCCAGCGAAGGCCCCACTGGCAGCGTTCGCATACCGCGCCCCCCGACCATTGGGGCACACCCCTCACACGTTCCATGGCCCCCACGGAGCTCCACCGAATGTCCCAGTGGCAACGTTCGCATACCACCCCCCCGGCCAATTCGGCACACCCCTCACACGTCTAGTGGCCCCCAGGGAGCTCCATTGAAGGCCCCAGTGGCACCGTTCGCATACCGCCCCCCCGGCCATTTCGGCACACACCTCACACGTTTCGTGGCCTTCAGGGAGCTCCAGCGAAGGCCCCAGTGGCAGCGTTCGCATACCTGTGAAAATCAGATAGCCGAGGATGTGAGATTTAGGGTGATAATGAATTATCTTTCCCTTCCGCCCATGGCCGTTGTGGCTCATAAGCTGGGCGAGAGGGTGGACGCACCTACTCACGACTGCTTTGAGTACGGAGATAAATAGATCTTATCCTCTCTGCCTTGTGCTTGCATCAAGCACTGGTGGGAGGGATATTGTGATCTGTGTTTACACTGGTAGCCTGGAGCTGTATCAGTTCTACGGTTTCGAGATTCATATTGTGAGTGGCTGTGCAGGTATATGCTGGCGCTTAAGACTCTCGTAGTGCTTTACCACTGCGCACTTCCTTCAGCGATTAACACGCTGAACATCATTACTTGCAGCCTGGCCGAGAATCGTTGCCACGACCCGGACAGCAGCAGGGACAACGACATCTACCACGAGCTGGACGGAGACGCCATCTTCAGAGACGGCGACGCCATCATCAGAGACGACAACACTATCATCAGAGACGGCAACACCATCACTACAGACAAGATGGCGACCAGACAGCAGCAGCCCAACGACGGACCACTCTTCGTGGACAAGGAGGGAGTCGTACACTAAAACGGCGACCCAGCCTACGGCGAGGAGTTCGAGGAGCGCGCGATCCTCGGCCACTATGCGAGCGAAGAGAAGCTGCAGAAGCTCTACGCGATCAAGCTCAAGAATTCTTTAAATGGACGAGCGTGGAACCTCACGAGGAAGAGGGCCGAGATTGCGACGCAAGCAGTGTTGGACAAAACGGGTGATGACCCACTTGCTGCAGTGAAGCTGGTGGTGGCAACAGTGCGACAAGCGTGCGAGCGGATCGCCCCTCTACAGCAGCCGCAAGCTTTCGAGGATTATTTCTTCAAAGGTTTTCGCAACAGATCGGAGTCAGTGCAGGATTACAGATCGAGGCGGGAGACGGAGTATGAGCGGCTCAAGTTTCTCTCAGCGAACACGACGGTGAGCGAAGACCTGCGGACGCACTTCCTACTAAAGTTGGCCAATAACAGCATGACCGAGCATAAGGCTATTCTTGGGCAATACAACAACGAGTACATCTGGGACGACGTGACGGCGGCGATGCTCATCCAGCTGGACACGACGTGCCGAGACGAACGTGGTCACGGACGTTATGGAGCATACCCAGTGGACTACGACGATGGCGAGGAGGAAGCCCTACTTGGATACGAGTGTGGCGTATGCGATGAGGACGGGCTTCTGAGCGATGAAGACTACGACGCGCTGGCAGCCGACATCGACGAGTTCGAGGGGGTGATTGACGACGTCGACCCCGAGGAGGTCAGCAAGGAGAAGTGCGACACTCTAGCGGCTGAGGCACAGCGTCTCGGGTGGAGGGCTGGACGAAAAGGTCACAAGCCTAACTACAAGCAAGCCCGGAAGAGGCTTGCACAGAGCAAGTCAAATCGAGGCTGGAAGGCCAACATCAACAAGCAGGGATCCATCAAGATGGACGGCAAGGAAACCGAAGAGAAACTCAAGAAGATAAAAGCTCGCAC